GTGTCCACTTGGGATGTCCCATGGCCACCCCTGGGTCCCCCATGCCCCCTTTATTTCCCCACTCCACTCAGGGACCCCCATGATTGCCCCACATTCACTCATGGACACCTATGCCCACCCTGGCTGCCCATGTCATGTCCAACCTGGGACCCTCGTATCCATCCCAGGTGCCCCCCATCTACCCGGTGGTCTGTGTGTGCAGGTGGGACCCCCACATCCACCCCAGACCCTCCTCATAGCCCATGTCCCGTGTCCCCCTATGAGACCACCCCATGCACCCTGGGACCCCTTGTCCACCTTGGGCGCCCCCCAACTACCCATGCCCACCTTGGTTGCCCCCACATCTGCCTCAAGGAGCCACCAGGTGCCCCAAGATGCCCCCCACCATCCACCCTGGAGACCCCCAACTATCTCAGGTGCCCCTTGTCCACCCCGTGGTCCCTTCCAGGCTGGGTTGGCCTCGACCACCATTGATTCACCTCCTTGGTCGTGGCTCTGGGGACGTGTGGCAGTGGGGAGGGTCCCAGCCCACCCGTGCCCCGTGGCCCTGGGTCCCAGGCTGCCCACGTCCCCTCTGCCACGTCCCTCTGTCCCCCACAGCCTCGAGGAACGTCCTGTGGGTGCTCGACGGGTCCCCCTGCGACCTGCCCTGGCAGGCTGCCCTCTTCAAAGGGGACAAGTTCATCTGCGGGGGGACGCTGGTGGCCAGGAACTGGGTGCTGACGGCCGCCCACTGCCACGTCCCGGGGTAGGAGGACTTGGGGGAGCAACGTCTGGGGGGGCTGGGGGCGATGGGCTCAGGAATCAGCCAGGGGTCAACCAGCACCTGGGGTCTTTGTGGCCAAGCAGGCTGGGGGGGTTGATGGCATCTCAGCGGGTTTCGGGCTACCTATTTTGGGGCTACTGTACCCTTAACCCTGCCCTTTTTTTCCCGATTTGTACAAATAACCTTAAATCCTCCTGTTCTTGAGCTGCAGTACCCTTAACTCCGCCTTTTCCTCCCCATTTGTACAAATACCCTTAATTTTGACCATTTTGAGCTGAGTACTCTTAACTCTGCCCTTTTCCTCCCCATTTTTACAAATAACCTCAACCCTGCCCATTTTGAGCTGCAATACCCTTAACTCTGCCTTTTTCCTCCCCATTTGTACAAATAACCTTAATTTTGACCATTGAGCTGAGTCCGCTTAACTCTGCCTTTTTCCTCCCCATTGTACAAATAACCTTAATTGACCCCATTGAGCTGTGAGTATCCTTAACTCTGCCTTTTTCCTCCCCATTTGTACAAATAACCTTAATTTTGACCATTTTGAGCTGTGAGTATCCTTAACTCTGCCCTTTTTGTCCCCATTTGTGCAAATAACCTTAACTCTGCCCATTCTTGACCTGCCAATACCCTTAACTCCAACCGTTTCCTCCCTATTTGTACAAATAACATTAACTCTGCCCGTTCTTGAGCTATGAATACCCTTAACTCTGCCCTTTTCCTCCCCATCTGTACAAATAACATTAATTCTGCCTGTTTTCTGCGCATGTGTAGCTTCAGCTGTTTCTTTTCTTTCCTTCTTTTCTTCCTTTTTCTTTCTTTTTCTTTCTTTTCTTTCTTTGATTTCTTTCTTTTCTTCTATTTTCTTTTCTTTCTTTTCTTTTCTTTCTTTCTTTCTTTTTTTCTTTTTTTCTTTCTTTTCTTTCTTTTCTTTTCTTTTCTTTCTTTTCTTTCTTTTCTTTTCTTTTCCAGGGCGAAGGGGGTCCATCCTCTTAACTGCTTTTTTTTCCCTGATTATCTATGATCTTAACTCTACCCCTTTTCCAGCTGCTTATAACCTGCGCTCTGCCTCTTCAACGACGATGTATAACCTTAACTCTGCCCATTTTATGCCTTTATATAACCTTAACCCTGCCCTTTTTATGACTCTCTATCACCTTGTCTCTGCTTTTGCTTCTTCTGCCCTTGTCACCACCTTCTTGGACCCCAAGCTCTGCCCTTGCCCCTGTTTTGTGGGGGGTCCTCAGGGCCCTCTGACCGTGATGGGTTTGTCTTGACGGGTTCATCCAACCTTTGGCTCCAGCTACATCAACGTGCGGCTGGGGGGCCGGGGCAACAAGGATCCGGGTGTCTCGGAGCAGCGGCGTCTCTCGGCCAAGGTCATCAGCTACCCGCGCTATGACCCGGCCACCAAGGACGGCGACCTGATGCTTGTCAAGCTCCTCCAACCCGTCCACATCAACGAGAGGGTGAAGCCGCTGCCGCTGGCCTCCCACTGCCCCGTGCCTGGCAAGACGTGCCAGATCTCAGGATGGGGGTCCACCACCAGCCCTGAAGGTATGAAACCAGTAGCCTAAGAGTTGGACGGCTGGGCCATCCTGATATAACCCTTGGGCATCCTTCCAAGGATGCCCACGTCACCTTGGGGGTCCTTGGACATCCTTCTCCTCCCGAGGAACCCAGGTGTCCACGTCACCTTGGGGTTCCCCTTGGTGTCCCCTGAGAGAAACACGGGGACAAGCCCCAGGGCAGAGTCTGAGAGGCCAGAGCTCGGCCCCCGTGTCACTTTGTGCTCCCCATCACCCGTAGTCACCTTCCCCGAGGACCTCCACTGCGCCAAGGTCACCATCGTCTCGGAGGAGCAGTGCCGGCGCATCTACCCCGGCTCCATCACCCCCAACATGGTGTGCGCAGGCGAACCCCGCAACCGTGCCGACTCCTGCCAGGTGGGTGCATGTTTTGGCCACCTTGGGCCCCTCTGGTCATTTGGGACCCCACAATGGTGTTGGGATGAGAACGGGCACATTTCGGTACAGCCAGCGGCACCCAGAGGGGATTTGGGTGCACGGGGTGGGAGGTGAGATGGTGTCGTGCAGGGATTGAGGAGAACATCTCCTTGGTGGGTCTTCAGTTCACTTCTTTGGAGATCCCAGGATGGCCCTAAAATGGCCCCAAATTTGGGATGATTCTATGGGGTAGGCTGTGATCCCCAGGCCCCCGGGTGCCACCCCTCTTTCCCCCGCAGGGTGACTCCGGGGGACCCCTCGTGTGCGATGGACGGCTCCAGGGCATTGTCTCCTGGGGCCCGGGAGTCTGCGGGGACCCCCAAAAACCCGGTGTCTACGTCAACCTCTGCAAATACACCCGGTGGATCCAGGAAACGATGAGAAGGAACTGAGCCCCCAGCCCATCCCCAGCTCCAATGGCCGCAGGACGGGCCCCGCAGCACCTCCTCCTCCTCCTCCTCCCCGATGAAGGTCCCCGGAGCCGGCCGGTCCGAGCACCGGGACACGCGCCCCGGGGTGGGCAGGGGCCATCCGCGGGGCCCTGTGGAGATGTCGATGAATAAAGTTTTACGACGTGGCTTTGCGCCATGTCTTCAGCGGGTGGAGTAGTGCAGCCCCGGGAGCTTGAGGTGCCTCCGGGTTGCCTCAGGTCTCGTAGGGACAGGAGAGGACATCAAGCTTTGGGGCAGACCAGATGGCCCCACTGCAGCTAGACCTGTTGACACCACCGTGGGGCAGATGTCTCTTTTGGCCCCACCATGGGGTAGATTTTGGCCCCTCTGCAGGTAGACCTGTTGACCTCGCCATGGGGTAGACATGTTGACCTCATCATGGGGAAGACCACCACGAGGTAGATCTACTGGCCCCATTTTAGGCCTCCTCACCATGGAGCAGATATTTTGACCTTGCCATGGGGTAGACCCATTGAATCTACCGTGGGGTAAATCATTTGGCCCACAACAGGGTAGACCATCACAAAGTAGATCTCCTGGCCCCATTTTGGATAGATCTGTTGTCGTCACCACAGGGCAGAGCTGTTGACCCCGCCATGGGGCAGACCCATTGACCCCACTTGGCTTCACATGGGGCAGCCCCATTGACCTTGCCTTGGAGTAACCCTGTGGCTCTGCTCCAGGTTGACCTCACCATGGGGTAGACCTGTTGATCCCTTTATGGAGTAGTCCCTTGGCTCTTTTGGGGTTGCCCAGGACCCTTCCCACCACCACGGTGGGGACAAAATCCATCTCAGCATCCTCCCCCGAGAGAGACGAGCCCTCACAATGCCCCGGGGTCAGGCCTTCCCTCTTGGTCCCCCCACCCCAGCCGTGTCTCCACGGGCAGGCGCATGACCAGGGAGAATTTCCCATCCCCAGAGGGGAGAAATTTCCCCGTGACTCAGCTGGAGAAGAAGGGGCCTAATTTCCCGACCTGGGGGTAACTCTGGCGGCGCATCAGGGCTGTTTTGCTTCCCCGACGGGTATGCAACGGGCAGGCAGCATCCACCCAGGGCACGTTGGCTTGCGAGCGGGAAGAAATCACCTGCTGGAGGCCAAATTTGCATGGATCCGAGACCTCTATTTTGAAGAACGGAGGGGTTTGGGGGGGATTTTTTCTCCTCCATGGGGTCCACGCAGCCCCATCTTGGTGACGGGGCTGGATGGAGAGCGGTGCCAACCCGGCTTCACCGTGATGGGTCCGTGTAAAGGAAAGGGTGAGGGATTTTGGTGGGCTGCAGAAGCACTTCCATGTCTTCCCCCTTGCGGGAAGAGGTCCGGCGAGGTCACAACGTCACGTGTTGTCCCTTGTGGCTCAATGGGGCGGGGAGCGACGCCAGCTGCCTTGCGCAAGACACCCCCTCCCTCTTCCCCCACGTGGCCAGGACCTGATGCACTGGAGGGTGTGGGCCTTGTCTAGCCACTGCGGCGGGGAAAGAGGTTTTGGTCCGGGTCCAAACCCCCAGGGAGGCGGAGGAATGGCTGTCCATCATTGCTGGGACCAACGGTGGCCACTGGTGGCTTCGAGATCTTCGCTCAGCCTTTCACACAAGGAGGTTCGAGCCTTTGGGGTTTCAGAGTCCTACAGAGGGTTTGGCTTGGAAGGTCCCAGGTTGGTGGCCATCAGATGTGGTGGGCTACCACAGTGGGCTCTAACAACTCCTCATCATCCATCTGGTCAAGGGGCTTTTTTGGGATCTGGTCAACGTGTCCATGGAGATCTGGTCAACGTGTCCTGGAGGTCTGGTCAACGTGTCCTTGGAGATCTGGTCAACGTGTCCTTGGAGGTCTGCTCAACTTGTCCAAGGTGGTCTGGTCAACGTGTCCATGGACATCTATCTGTATGTCCATGAAGACACGGTCAAGGCATCCATTGGGGTCTACCCAACATGTCCATGGAGGTCTGGTCAACGCATCTAATGAGGTCTTCTCCTCGCACCCATGGAGGGTTGGTCACCGCATCCGTTGGGGTCCGTGCAATGCAAGCGTTGAAGCCTGGTCAATGCTGCCCTCGTGGTCTGGCCAAGATGGTGATGGAGGTGCCGGGTCTGGTAAGTCACGACGTCCATGGAAGTGAGATTAAAGGTCAGGGGGACCACCACAGAGCCTGGTCCTGCTGGCCATGGAAATGAGCCAGAAAAAGGAGACGTTTGTTGACCTTGAGGTGTCCCATCAGGGGGCTCAGAGGTCACCGCTGTCCCCCACGTCTGCCACTACCATTCCAGGGATAGCTGGCTTGCAAACCTGCCACCACGTCCCCAAAACCACCGGCACCCGACACCACTATTCCTGTGTCACCCGTGTCCCCTGAGCCACCCCCTGTGTCACCCAGGGCACTGCCACCCACGGTGCTGCCAGCCCGTGTGTCAACCAGGGCCACCCCCTCCTCCCTCCCTCCTGGGTCACCCAGGGCACTGCCACCCACGGTGCTGCCACCCCGTGTGTCAACCAGGGCCACCCACCGTGTCACCCAGGGCGCTGCCAACCCCTTTTGTCACCCGGGGCCACCCCCGGACTCGGCGCCCCCAAGGCTGTGGGGACACAGAGGGGACAAGGACAGGGTGGGACACGTCCCCTCCGTGCCACTGAGGATTGGGAGAGGGGAAGCGTGGGGTCCCCCCGCAGCCCTGGCAGTGGGTGGCAGGCCCGGGCTGGCCCTGGGGATAATTAGGTAATTAGCACTAATTACGCGGAGGAGATGGGAGCGGAGGAACTGGGAGAACCGGTTGGGCCCAGCCCCAACGTCATCGTCATCGCCACCGGGGACGTGGCCCAACATGCACGCCCCCTCCCCGGCATCTCAGGGGGCCCCCCCGTCTTCTTCTGTGGGTCCCCGTGTCCCCCACAGGTCCCTCGTGTGACCCCACGTCCCCTCGTGTGACCCCATGCCCCCTCTTGTGTCCCCATGCCCCTCACGTCCCCACATGTGCTTCTGTGGACCCCCCCATGTCCCCTCGTGTGCCTTCAAGTTCTCCCCTGCCCCTTCACGACCCCCACGACCCTTTGAGGTCCCCCAGTCCCTCCTTGTGCTCCCCTGTCCCCCTCCCCATGTCCCTCTGTGTCCCCTCTTGGGGTCCCACATCCCCTTATGTGCCCCATGTCCCCCCACGGGGCCCCCTGTCCCCACCAAGCCCCCCATGTCCCTTCATGTCCCCTCACGCCCCCTGGAGACCCCCATAGATGGGCTCCCTCTCTGTGGTGGGAAGCCTGGTAGATGTGACCCTCATGGCCCACGATCACCGCGTCGATCCCATGGGTGGGATCTCCACGGGGACGAGATCTTTGCCCACCAGATCTTGGGGAACATGGCCCGGGGGGGCCACGGGTGGGATATCCACGGAGGATCTCTGCCATTGACCACTCCACGGAGGGGTTCTCCCCGTGTGGAGGTCTCTGGTGGACCAGGTCACCACGGGTGGGATCTCGGTAGACGGGACGTCCATGGGATGGGATCCTCGGGGACGGGATCCTGGTGGACGGGGTCTTTGTGGACCACGACCACCATGGGCTGAAGCCTGGTGGATCAGGTCCCCGTGGACCAGACCTCCACAGGATGGGCTCCTCAGCACCCCGGCCTCTTCGGTGAGGCCCTCAAGCAGAGCAGATCCCCGTGGACTTACTGGGAACGGTTGCTCTGGGTTCAACTCCGGGTTTGGGACCAAACCCAGCCCCGGGCTTCCTCTGCCACCAGCAGAGAGCGAGATCAGCATCTCCGAAAGGTGATTCATCCCCGCCCGGCCTTTCCTTTCGTCAGGGCTCAGCTCCTGGGCCTCTCCACCCTTAATTGCTTGGCAGGGGCTCTAATTGCCCCGCGAGCTGCTGGCAGCCTCAGCTCCTTTCCCAAAAGCTCTGCAAAAGAGGTTCCTTCGCCCGAATCACGGCTCTGGTCCTCTGCAACGCCAAGGATGGCCAAGGTGGGGGTGGCACTGGAGGACCCCTGGGTGCCCCAAATCCTTCCAGGAGCCCTAAGGACGGGTCCTTCAGGACGTGCTGGAGCTTGGACAGGTTTCATCTGGAGGAGGGAAATCTGGTGGGATTACGGCACCGGTTGCTTGATCTGCTGGGATCCTGGCTGGTGTCCAGCACCAAACCCGCCCAGGGAAGGGCTGGGCATCGCCGAGGTCCCCGTGCAGCAGAGGGTGGAGATGCCCTGGGTGACCCTGGGGACAGTGGGTGACACTGGTAGCACCCAAGTCCCCATGGATGGAGACCCTAAGCCCCCATGGGGTGGAGAAGCCGGTGGCGACCTCTCACCTTGGAGACCTCCCCCTTGCCATCGGGGTTGGGGATGGAAGAAAGGGGATCGGAGGGGACATGAGGGCTCGGGGACAATTTCCAGCTGGGGACAAGGTGGGGGACAAGTGTCACTCGCACCCCCGGTGCCCCCTTGACTCACCGGAGCCGACTCGCAGGGCTCGGTGGGGTTGGCACCAGGTCGTAGCCTCGCCCATCGTTCACCCGCATCCGCGGCGTTACTCATCAGGAGGCGCGACCAGGAGAAGGTGGCACGTAGGTCCCCGAGGACCTCCGGCCTGGTGACATCCTCGGGGACCTCCCGGAGCTGCAAAATGCCCCCCCCTCGAGGTGGCATCCCAAATGTTGTGCCAAATCTCACATCCTTACACACGCGTGTGCATGCGTGTGCGTGATGTGAAGTCTACTCGCGTAGTAGGAGCAGAGGGTGGACGGACAGACGGACAGATGGAGAGGGAGGTGGACGGACAGATGGATCTGTAGGTCTAGGTGGATCCATCCATCTTGATGTAGGTGGACAGATGGACGGACAGATCCATCCATTGATGCAGATGGACAGATGGACGGACAGATAAATGGTTGATAGATGGATGGTGGGACAGAGGGACAGACGGCCGTCCAGCTTGCTGGAAGGACAGTCAGACGGAGATACAGATGTACAGATGGACAGACAGATGGACAGAGCCCGGTGGATGGGCAGAGATGGACAGACAGACGGAGAGATGAGCGGAGAGACTGACGGACAGATGGATGGTGAAGTGGCCACCTGGGCGGACGGACAGATGGACAGCGAGGCTGCAGTCAGGTGGACGGACAGATGGACGAATGGGTGGGC